ATCAAGAAACTTAGAAGTGATAGAGGTGGTGAATATGAATCAACTTTTGCTGAGTTTTGTAAAGAACACGGAATAATTCATCCAACCACCGCTCCTTACTCACCTCAGCAAAATGGAATCACTGAAAGGAAAAATAGGACTTTAAAAGAAATGATAAATGCCATGTTAATAAGTTCTGGATTACCTCAGAACTTGTGGGGGGAAATAATACTTTCTGCTAATTATATACTTAATAAAGTATCCTGAAAGAAGTGAATCAAACACCTTATGAATTGTGGCATGGAAGAGTACCATCCTACAAATACTTAAAAGTGTGGGGGTGTTTGACTAAAGTGGCTATTCCTAGTCCTAAAAAGACTAAGATAGGTCCTAAGACCATTGATTGCATTTTCATTGGTTATGCCAAGAATAGTAGTGCATATCGGTTTTTGATTCATAAATCAGAACATACCGAAATGCATGTAAATACTATTATTGAATCAAGCAATGCATCTTTCTTTGAACATGTATTTCCAAAGAAGACTGGACAAAAGACTAGTAACAATAAAAGATCTCATAATGCTATTACTAGTAAGGATCAAGAACATGATCAAGAACAAGAGTTAGATCAAAATGAGGAAGAGAAACCTAGGCGTAGTAAACGTGCTAGAACCTCAAAATTCTTTTGGTTCAGATTTTCTAACATTTTTGTTAAAAAATGAGCCTTTAACTTTTAAAGAGGCTATGTCTAGTCCTGAAGCTCCTTTATGGAAAGAAGCTGTCAATAGTGAAGTTGAATCCATCTTGCAAAATCACACTTTGGAATTGGTGGGTTTGCCACAAGGTGTTAAACCTCTTGGGTACACGTGGATTTTCAAAAGAAAATTGAAAGAGGATGGATCGATTGAAAAATACAAGGCAAGACTTGTGGTCAAAGGATTTAGACAAAAGGAAGGTCTTGATTACTTTGACACATACTCACCGGTTACTAGAATAACATTCATTAGAATGCTAATTGCCATTGCATCTCTATACAATCTAGAAATTCATCAAATGGATGTAAAAACTGCTTTCTTAAATGGTGAGTTAAATGAAGAAATTTAGATCGAACAACCAGAAGGGTTTTCTGTTCCAAGAAAAGAAAAGAAAGTATGTAAATTGGTTAAATCATTATATGGTTTAAAACAAGCGCCAAAGCAATGACATGAGAAATTTGACAAGGCAATGATGTCAAATGGATTTAAAATTAATGAGTGTGACACATGTGTTTATATTAAAAACACAGACAAAGGTTTTATGTCATTGTATGTCTTTATGTAGATGATATGCTCATCATAGGTAGTAATAATGACATGATTAAAACTACTAAGAAAATGTTGAATAAACATTTTGACATGAAGGACATGGGCATTGCTGATGTAATTCTTGGTATGAAAATTACCAAAACATCAGAAGGATATGCTTTGTCACAATCTCATTACATTGAGAAAATACTTGACAAATTCAGCAAAGATGATGATCATCTTGCTAGAACACCTATAGATGTTAATTTGTATCTTTCTAAGAATGTACAGGAAAGTATTTCTCAATTAGAGTATGTCCAAATTATTGGAAGCTTAATGTACTTGATGAACTGCACTCGCCCAGATATAGCTTATGCAGTAAGTAAATTAAGTAGATATGTGAGTAACCCAGAGTAGAACACTGGAAAGCAATTATCAGGGTTCTAAGATATCTTCGATTTACTCGTAACATTGGGCAAAATTATACTAGATATCCAGCAGTACTTGAAGGTTATTGTGATGCAACTTGGATATCGGATACTAGAGACTCGAAGTCCACCAGTGGGTATGTCTTTACTCTTGGTGGTGTGGCTGTATCTTGAAAATCTTCTAAACAGACTTGTATTGCTAGGTCTACTATGGAATCTGAATTCATAACTTTAGACAAAGCTGGGAAAGAAGCAGAATAGCTTCGCCACTTCCTTGAAGATATTCCAATATGGCCAAAACTAGTGCCTGCTATATGCATACATTGCGATAGTCAATCTGCTATAGGTAGAGCACAGAGTCATATGTATAACGGTAAGTCACGACACATTCGTTGTCGACATAACATCGTGAGACAACTACTCTCTAATAGAATTATTTTCATAGAATATGTTAAGTCTAAAGACAACATAGCGGATCCACTAACTAAAGGGTTAGCAATAGAGTTAGTTGAGAATTCATCGAGAGGAATGGGACTTAAGCCTATTAAATAAGAGTTACCACAACGGCAACCCAACTTAGTTGACTGGAGATCCCAAGATCTAGGTTCAAAGGGACAACCGAGTTGTGAATGACTCAGAAGGATCACTGGAGAGTCTTACTCCTACCCATTTCTTTGATGAAATAGTGATGTCTGCAGCGTTTGAGGTTAAGTAAAATTTTAATCACTGTGTTTGGTTTGAGTTTTCTGGATTAAGTTTTTTGAAAACTAAGTTTTTTGATTTTCGTGTTTTTTTGTTTTTAGTGAATATTTTTAAAATTTTAAACATTTTTTTTTTACTTTTTTAGATGCACCTTACTTAGATGTGTCTAAAAAGTAAAAAAAATTGTGAAAAAATATTTTAAAAAATTAGGAAATATATAAAAATACAAAAAATATACTAAATTCTTGTATTTTTTTATATTTTTGGTATTTAGTGAATTTTTAAAAGATTTTTTTTACAATTTTTTTACTTTTTAGGTGTATCTAAAAAGTAAAAAATTCGCATAAAATATTAAAAAAATTCAGTAAAAATAAAAAAATACGGAAAATAAGAGTGTAGAATTTTTTGAAAACTGTTTTTAAAAAATGGGAACCAAGCAAAGTGAATGATTCTTATATCTAGGTAAACCTAGTGGAGTATGGCAGGATACTCTTCATGAGAATCACCTATGTGAGTGTGAACTGGGCCGGTTCTATAAGATTTGTGAAGGGCTACAAGTCTTTAGAGCACTCATGAAAGACCAGGTTGCTCAGGGCCAAAATGAACACAATAGTAAGAACTAAACTGTGTCTGGGGATATACTATATGAGTTCTATTGTCTTGGTTTACACAAACGGCTGAACAGTTCAAGACATCATGTTCACTAGTTAGCTAGTAAATCCGATAGTGTCTCACAAGGGAAGGTTCATAGCCAAAAGCTACCTATCCTTTGCAGAATATTTCCAATTTCTGTATTCTCTGTATTTAGATCATGTTGTTGCATTTTCTCTCCGTCAAATTCCATTCATGTGGGAGATTGTTGGAAAAAATGGTTTATATAGGCTTATTTTGGGCCGACTTTGAGCCCAAAATTGAGTGGGCCTCGAACATCTTTTGGGGCGGGTCTGAAGAGGTGAAGTGTTCCTTGCCGTGTAGCAAGTCACACGGTCCACACGGTGAAGACGGTTCATCAAAACCATTTATGAATGAATGGGAACATGACGTCATTTTCGGGTTTGTGGAATGAACATTTAAAGTTTGTAATGTGGGTTTCCTTGTGAGGCTTGTCCCACATTGAAACTTTAAGAGAGTTTTGTTGAGTTTATAAGCTCTAGCCTAGAATACTTGGGTTGGGCCCCAAGGGGCACCCCAAGTTTGTAGAAGGGGAAAGTTATGGACAAAGTGAACCTTAGCCCAAACCACCATGTGCGCTCCGACCGAGCCGTGCCGGGCGCGGGTGTGGGTTGTGGGTCGGGTCGGTTCTTGTATTAATTTTTTGGACAAAATTCATTTGAATTTTTGGGGCGGGTCCGAAGAGGTGAAGTGTTCCTTGCCGTGTGGCAAGTCACACGGTGAAGACGGTTCGTCAAAACCATTTATGAATGAATGGGAACATGACGTCATTTTCAGGTTCGTGGAATGAACATTTAAAGTTTGTAATGTGGGTTTCCTTGTGAGGCTTGTCCCACATTGAAACTTTAAGAGAGTTTTGTTGAGTTTATAAGCTCTAGCCTACAATACTTGGGTTGGGCCCCAAAGGGCCCCCCAAGTTTGTAGAAGGGGGAAGTTATGGACAAAGTAAACCTTAGCCCAAACCACCACGCACGCTCCGGCCGAGCCATGCCGGGCGCGGGTGTGGGTTGTGGGTCGGGTCGGTTCTTGTATTAATTTTTTGGACAAAATTCATTTGAATTTTTTCAAAAAAAAAAAAAAATATTACGGAAATTTAATTCAAATTTGAATTCCAATTTTTGTCTAACTTCTGTCCGAAATTCCTCAACAGATTAAAACTGTTTTTTCAGTTAGTTAACATCCAGAAACTGCCCAGCAGTTCCAGGTATAACTATTCTGCAGTTAAATCTGTTGAAACAGTTTTAAATCTGTATGAATTTAAACTCATATCTGTTCAATTCAAAACACACCTGTTCAGTTCAAAATTTTGCACCTGTTCGGCTCTATATATATACCAGCACTCTCCAGCATTGTTTCCAATCCGAAAATCAGTCTGAATATGGTCTCTTTGCTGTCCATTTGCTCTACTGCATTTATTCTTCATTTACTAGTTTTAGAATAATATTAAGAGAGTATAGAACACAAGGTTTGGTTCGCTGTAAAATTTGTGTGGGGTGCTACTATAAGTTTTTGAAGATCATTGTATCTTGGGAGATAGATGCCACTCAACCGTAAGCACCGTAGCGGGGCGAATCTGTCTTAAGGACATAGTGTCACACACTCGACTTGGTCTTTAATTATTCATTCGGTTTAATAAATAAATTCGGTACGTTATTTATTTATTTGTTTGAATTTATTTCTATTTATTTTATTTACACAGAAGATTGTTCCAACCTATGATATACTTGGTTTTGGTGAGGCTGGTGGTAGTGCAATGGCTGGAATCTCATTATAGAAATTGAAATTCTCATACTGTAAAATATAGCTGGGTCTAAGGATTCTCACCCCACTCTTCGCATTACAACAATTGGGAATTTCTCTAACAGCCTCAAGCAAGCAATCGAAGCAATCCTGCTCTGATAAATCAGGCGTGCACTGCTCGAGCGCATATATAAATTCAATTTGTATTTCCAAATCCCAACTTGCGAAGAGGGCTACTTGTAGCAGCTTGCTTTCGAAGGTTATCCAACAAGATCTTCAACTCCAGATTGAATAATTCCGTATCTGGCACATCATCCGCATTAACGATATTGTAATTTGGATATATTGACATAGTGCCAATTATGGGCTTGTTCGAGTATCGCAGCATACAATAGTCATACAATGCAATTGCCTCCATGTAATTAGGACAAAGTTGTATGAGCTTACTAGTAGACAACTTGATAGAACTACGACATGTTTCAAGCTTAGCATCTCCCCTGCAAAAAAGTGATTGCATTAATTCTATGTGAGTTTTCTCCAACTGATAAATTGTAGAATCCATGTTTCATTTTATCGGTGGAGAGAGAGGAGAGGAGGGTGTTGAGGTTCGACTCGTATGTGCTATTGTAATTACCAGTGTCAATACAATAGCTGGTTAGGAAGTTAGGCTAGGCAAGGGTGAGAACAACAAGGTTTATGAGAATGTGAGAAAAGAAGAGGAATTGTGTCCCAGAAACCATTCAGTGTACATATAACAAGGTTTATGAGAGTTGAATACAAAGTTGCTTTGGTTCTTTCAATTATATAACAAAGTCCCATAGATCTTCGAATGTAGGTTTTGTCCAAATCCCAAACCAATATAGGAAGCATTCACACTTAGAAGAGTACTAGGAAGTAGAAAATCCCAAACCAATATAGGAAGCATTCACACTAAAAAGAGTACTAGGAAGTACAACACAACTAATTTAACTGGATGAATGAGAATATACTAAACTTCAAGAGGACCCATGAAATAGAAATTTGATGCTTCCTTAAACATTGTCATAGAATTTTTTAACTGATTTTTTTAATCCAAAATAATGTAGGTTTTTGTGAATTAATTTATTTTATGGTAAAGCACCTATCATTATAGCTCATAATCTTTTTATTTATTTATTTATTTTAAATGTGGATAAACTACACTAATCGACCAACCGTGAGGTTTAAAAAAATATAATAAATCTTACAAATTTGATTTAATTACACTAACCTCTTTCCTAACAAGGTTAAAGAAACTGAAACTAATGTAGATTGTGTGAAAATACAATAATAAATAAGTTATAATATACGTTTCAGGAGAAAGGAGATGACAATATCTTTTTTCGAGCCATATGACCAACAAATTAGAAATGAAAAAGGAGGTAAGTGTTATGTGCATTAAAACTTTTTAAATAGAATTTAATGTAATTATGTTAAATTTGTGAGACTTGTATGTTTTTCAAACTTTGATGACGATTAGTGTAATTTAACTCAAAAAATTATGTTATAAAAATTGAAACCAATAATGGTGCTTAGTTTTGTGAGAGAATATGACAAAAGTGAAAGTGTGGAAAAATAATTTTAAAATAATAGAAATAGAAGTGATTTATGTATTAGATTGTATGAGTTTTGTACCTCTATCATTTTAAATTTTATTTTAGGTAAATTACACTGACCTCTTCAAAGAATTTTTAAATGACAAAAATCTCCATGAGTTTTAACTTTAAATTACATTGACCTCCCCTGAAGTTTAATAAAATTGCAAAAATTTCCCCTAAAGTTTTTACAATGACAGAAACCTCCTTTGAGGTTTAATTTTTATAATAGATTTCCTCTTCCGTTATTTTATTGTAAAAAAAAAAAATTGTGAACATCATTAAATAATTTAATTATATTTTTAATTTTACTCTTTAAAACTGTGTCCAATTACTAAGAAATTAAAAAAAAAAAAAAATACGGGCTTGTTTGGTTTGTATTTGAGAAACATGTTTTGAGATAAAAAGTACGAAAATTTGTTTGGTTTGGTTTTTTTAAAAGATGTTTTGAAAAATTATTTTGAGAGAGAGTTTTGGAAAAAGTGATTGATTTAATGTGTATGAGAGAGAGATTTGTTTGGAAAACTTGTAAACCAAACAAGTTTTGGAAAAAAAATTTGCGAAAATTTGTTTGGTTTGATTACTTTTGAAAACTTATTTATAGAAAATTTTTCTCAAAATTTTTTGAGAAACAAACACCAAACAAGGCCACAATTTCTTTCTTTTTGTTAAGTCATCACTAACAGGTAACAACTCCATTGATGCACGTGTAGGAATAGAAGAGGAAAATATCTAGTTTGATTAGAGATATCCAGTTAGTTAGTTAGTAAGTTTGTTAGAGATATTTAGTTAGTTGTAACCACCTGTGCTTGTATATCTATGAGCTCTGCTCATCTATTCATTCAACGGAATCAATTTATCATTTTCCACATAGTATCAGAGCATAGATAAGCTCAAACGAGCATCGATTCTTGGTTTCGATGGCTGATCCTCCAGTCTTAGTTTCTTCATCAATTTCTTCGTCTTCTTTAACTGTAATTCCTTCAAACCTAACAATTTTCATCTCCAATCTGTCCTCGTTTGTGACAGTGAAGCTCGATGCTTCAAATTTTCTGGTTTGGAAGAACCAAATCCAAAACATCTTAAGGGCTACTAGTTTGCTTGAATATGTCGATGGAACAATTCCATGTCCACCAGCAAAGATCAGGGACTCTTCTGGATCTGAAGTTTCTAATCCAGTACGAGTACTGTGGGATCTAACAGATGCACATTTGCTCAGTTGTGTTACGACAACTCTATCCTCTCCGATCTATTTGACTGTAATACAGTTTCAACACTGTTATGAAATCTGGAATTCTTTGATTAAAAGATTCACTATTCTTTCTCGATCACATATTCATCAACTCAAAAATAAGCTGAATAATGTGTCCAAGACAAGTGAATCCATGGAGGATTATTTGAATCACATTAAGGAATTATCAAATCAGTTGGCACTCACATCTGCTATAGTTAAAGATGAAGATCTTGTGTTAATCACATTGAATGGGCTCCCTGATGAATATGACTTCTTTAAAACTGCTATTAGGGCAAGATCAGAAGGTATTTCAATGGAGGAGTTATGTGCTTTGCTTTGTTCCGAATCTATTCATTTTGAACTAAAAAGTCAAAAAATTATCACCTGTTGAGCAACCTAATGTTGCTTTTCAAAAAATTATCACCTGTTGAGCAACCAAATGTTGCTTTCTCTGCTGCTCAAGGCTCACGGTCTACACAGTCTGGTTCTTCTGGATCTTCCCGAGTCCAAGTTTCTTATTCACAAGGTCGATATTTTTCTAAAGGAGGCAGAGGATGTCAATTTTCTTATCAATCTCGCAACCATGGTAAATCTTTTTCTAGAGGCAGAAGGCGTAATGGTCCAGTTTGTCAAATTTGTGGTGTCTTCGGCCACATAGAATTTGATTGCTAGCATCAATTGGATGCATAGTATCAACCTCATTTTCAATCTTCTTCCCAGTCTATGTCTAACTCTAAAGCCTTTGTTGCTTCTTCTTGTCTTCCAAATCAGTCCACATCTCACTCCTCTTCTTCTTCCATGCCTTAGTACCTGGATTCGGTTGCTACTGATCATATGCCAATTGATTTGAACAATTTAAGTCTCTATCAAGCCTATCCTAGCACTGATCGTATTACTTTCAGAAATGGACAATTTGTTCCTATCCATCACACTGGTCAAGGTATTTTGCCAACTCCTAATTTCTCTTTTTGTCTCAATAATGTCTTGCACTCTCCTGCTATTTCTTCTAATCTTCTCTCAGTTCATCAACTTGCTAAAGACAATAATTGCAACATTATTTTGGACGCTTCTACTTTTCTGATTCAGGACAAGCAATTGAAGAGAATTCTTTACAAGGGTTCTAATACCAATGGCTTGTATCATTTTCAATCTCATCTGCAATCATCTGTTGTGCCTCAGGCTCATTTTCATGCTTTGAATAAAACTATCTCTATAGAAGTGTGGCATCATAGATTAGGCCATCCTTCTTAAAAATTTACTTTTCAAAAGAAGCATTTTTCTTGTACAAATCATAAGACTGATACTCTTGCTTCTTGTTCAGATTGTTGTGTTTCTAAAAGCCATCAATTGCTATTTCAATTGTCAAATTCCACTATTAAACCAATGTTTTGAAAATCGGACTGGTAAGTGAAATGGAAAAGAATCGGGTGGACCAATCACCGGTTCAACCGTCAGGTCAAAGCGGTCGAACCGTGACGTCATAATTAATATTATATAATTAAAAAATATAATTATAAATTATAAATAAATAAAAATATATATAAAAAAATATAATTATAAACTATAAATAAATAAAAATATATATAAATACTCAAATAAAAATAAAAATATTGCATAATATTTATTAATAATATTTAATAAAGTCATAATTGATAAGAAAAAGTCATTTGTTTTAAAGAAATTAAATTTTTTTAAAATTTCTTCCAAACAAATTGATTAAATGCTAGATTTAATTTTGGAGGGAAATGAAATTTTCAACTCTCCCTCCGATCAATATGATTCAAATAATTTGATTGAATCCCACATAGAATTTTGTAGGTTCTCTTTGAAAAATCTTTTCCTATAAATAGCAATAGATTTTCATAATCTCCTCAAGCTTTCAATGAGACTTCTCCTTATGAGAGGAGACTCTTGAAGTAAGAATTTTTTGTCAAAATTTTGAAATATATATATATATATATATAAGAAAGAAAGAGAAAAGAAGAAGAAGAAGAAAAAAATGTATATATAACAGAAACAGCGGGGTCTCAAAACCCAATATGGGTCATCGGTTCTAGTGGTTCAATCGCTGGTTCTGCTGGTTTTTCAATTTTACACCGGTTTTGCCCTTCGTTCGGGTTTAGAGGGTTTTTCGGACCGGAACAAGGCCAGTTCTCGATCCAACCGGTCCGCCCAGTCCGATCCAGGTTTCTAAGCAATGCGTTAAACAACCATTGTCTTTAATTCACAGTGATGTTTGGGGTCCCTTTAATAAATTTACATCTCGTTTCAAGTTTTATGTGATTTTTGTGGATGACTTTAGCCGATTCACTTGGCTATATCCTTTAGCCTACAAAAGTGAGGTATTTGTTAAATTTGTTGAATTCAAATCTTATGTTGAGAAGCAATTTTCTACTTCTCTTCAAGTTCTTCGCACTGATGGTGGTACTGAATATTTCAATAATAAAATGCAGGCCTTTTTCTTAAATAGTGGGATTGTTCATCAACATTAATGTCCATAGACCTCACCTCAAAATGGTGTGGCTGAGCGCAAGCATAGACACATTATTGAAGCTTCCATTTCTTTAATTCATCGTGCCTTTCTTCCACTACATTTTTGGTTTGATGCTATTGCTACTGCCACCTTTCCTATTAACATAATGCCATCTTCTATTCTTGCTAATAAGTCTCCTTATGAGGTGCTTTTTCACTTTATACTAGATTATTCTTTCTTTA